TCTCAAGATTCAATAACAAAAGAAAAAAAATTCAGTTAAAAATGGGCAGAAGAGACATTTCATCAACACACGAACAGGTGTTTAACATTGTTAACCATTAAGGAAATGCAAATTAAAATCACAGTAAAATGTAACTGCACACCTGTAGCTAAGAAATATTGACACCAATAGATGCTGGTAAGGATTTGGAGAAACTCACTTACACATTGCTGATCAGAATGTAAAATGATACAATCACTCTAGGAAAGTTTGATAGTTTCTTGTAAAACTAGCATTGCATTCCTGGAAACTTACTCCAGAGAAATGGGAACTTAAATTCACACTAATGCTTGTACATAAATGTGTATAATAGTTTTGTTTATGATAGCCGAAAACTGGAAATGACCCAGATATCTTTCAGTGGGTGAGTGGTTAAGCCATGGTATAGCACATCTATACCATGGAATAGTACTCAACAATAAAAAAGGAGAGAACTATTGATACATACAACAACTTGGAGGTATTTCATAGGCATTATGCTGAGTATGAAATAAGCCAATCTCAGAGCGTGACATATTTTACGGTTCCATTTGTACAACCTTCTTGAAATGATACAATTATAGAGATATACACATTAGTGGCTGCCAGGAGTTAGGGATGGTAGGGGGTGGGTTGGGTGTGACTGTAAAGGGATGTATGAGCTAAATCTTTGTGGTGATGAAATAGTTCTGTATCTTGATTGCTGCGGTGATTGTAGAGACATCCACATATGATAAAATGACATCAAACTATATACACGTTACCTATGTCAGCCTGGTTTTGATTTTGTACTATAGTTACATTGATGTAACCACTGGGAGAAGCAGATGAAGGGTACATAGGATCTTGTTGTACTATCTTTGCAATTTCCTATGTATCTATAATTATTTCAAAATAAAAATTAAAAAATGTTTTAAAGCAGTAGAATTAATAAGATTGCTTAAAGCAACTGGGCACCAACTGTATTTTCAAAATCGTGCTATAAGTATTAGCTGGCTAAATACCATTGCTGCCACCCCCGAACAATGGGCACTGGATGCTGGCACTGCTGCTAATAATGTCTCTAGAAACTGGATTTTCTTGTGGCTGCTGCTTCCACCACCACAGCTATGGCAATGAATTCCATCATCACATCTTTGAATCACTACTTTCAGGCAAAGTATTAGGTCTGAGTTGTAACTGTTTGTGCAGTGAAAGAGTCCACTAAACAGGTCTGGAGTGTTCAAATCCTATGCATTAAAAACAATTTTTTTTTATACAAAGAAAGGTCTGGCTCTTGACCAGTTCTTGGGAGATAGCATGTCAGCCCCTGGAATATCCTTCCCGATTAGACAGTCTTTGTTTACTGTGACTTTGGGCCATGCTGGATAGTTTGTGCTACCAGTGTGATTTATGATGGGAGCCTTAGGCTACAATATATTAGTTTGACGTCTGGATGGGCTGAAGACTGAATAACTAAGGTCAGTCACACAGGTGCTCCATGGCTATCTAATTGACCCCCAATAAAAACCCTGGGTACCAAGGTGTGGGTGAACTTCCCTGGTTGACAGTACTTCATACATGTTTTGACACATCATTGCTGGGAAAATTAAGCACAGGGGGCCATACAACCCCATTGTGAGAGGACAATTGAAAGCTCACATTTGGTCTCTCCTGACTCTGCCCTGTGCACATTTTACTTTTATTGATTTTAATCTGTATACTTTCACTGCAGTAAGCCGTAGCCATAACACCTTTTCTGAGTTCTATGAGTCCTTCTAGCAAATCATTAAATCTGAGGGTGATCTTTGGGAGCTTGCCACACTGGTAAATCCTAGATCACGTTCTCTTAGCTGCCAAGGTGATGTGAAAAAATGAATATCTGGCCTTTTGGCATTTGCAGTTGGAACTGTTAAGTAATATAGGGTATACATTTCCTTACTAAAATGTGAAAAGAAATTGAAATACATGTAGCCCCAAGGATTTTCAGTAAGGATCTGTAGGACTGTATAAAGAACCCCTAGAAATCAGTAAGATAAAGATAGATAGCCCAATTGAAAAGTAATCTGATATGAATTCTAATATGAATCTGATATGTTCATTAATATATAAAAATGTGTTCTGCCATATTACTTATTAGAAATATAAAGTAAAACCACAGGAAGATATCAGTAAACATAAGATTGGCAAAAACTTGGAAAAGTCTTATAAAGTATGTCAGTCTTACTCCTGGGCGTCTGGTGCCACAGAAATAATAAAAAAAATAAGCACAAAATATAAGGATACATTTACAGGAATTTTTATTAAAATGTATGTGCTATCCTTCTGGTCCCTCCCCCCCCCAAAGTCCTGAAACTAAAATGAATGTCCATCCATGAGGGAATGGTTGTATACATTTGTGGTACATTCCTATCATGGAATATTATGCAGCCATTTAGAATGAATCAGAGGTAAACTGTTGTCAAATAAGACAGATCAGATGTGTAAAAGTTTATATAACATGATCTTAATTTTTACAAAACAATAATAAAACATGAGGTTTTGAGCATGGAAGGACATAAAATGGTATTAAAAATGTGTATGTGGCAGGTGAAGATAGAAGTGAAAAAAAGGAGTACAAAGCAGTAAGGAAAAGAATGCAACCTCAAGTATGTATGGCATATACATAATCCTATTTATGTAAGAATATATGCATAAAATAATATATCAAAAGGTAGCATCAAAACTTTAGCAATTATCACAAGGTGGTGACATTTAGAGTGATGTTTATTAATTTCTAATTTAAGCAATGTTTAAACTTTAAATGATGAATATGTATTATTTGTATAACAAGGGAAAATAAGTGAATTTATCACGGGGAAAAAAAATGCCTCTCAGGTTTCTTACTTTAGCAATGGGGTGGATAGTGTGATTCATTCATTCATTTAACAAATATTTATTGAACATATAAAAATGTGTTATGCATGGTTCTAGGTGCTGAATAAACAACAGTAAATGAAACAAACAAAAATCCATCTTCGTAAGAAGCTTACATTTTAATGAGAAAAAGAGAGGAGAAACACTGGGTTGGTGGGAAAGAGGAGATGTACAAAGGAACCTGTTTGGGACCTGTAAATTTTGAGACTACTGCGAGAGAACCAATTGGAGAAGTGAAGTAGGCAGTAGATTATGGATCTAGAATTCATTCTGGAGCTAGAGATATGGAAACAGCATATAAAATGGTGTTTCAGACCTTCTTTCCTGAGTCTGATCACGTACTACTGCAGACACTTAACAGAGGAAGTGCTGAGGAAAAACAGGCAGCTGACAGGGGTGGTTGCTATGCAACAGATGAGGAAAGTCATCCAGCCAGGCAGAATTGATGTTGGCCCTTGGGGACCAAATGCTGCAGTCCTTCCTAGCACTAGTTTCCTTTCATTTGCAGACTCCTGGCTGATGACAGAACAAATGTGAAATGTGCAAAGATCTGCCTTGGATTTTGGAAAAGTATCAGTTTAATTTGAGTCACTTCACATCTGTATATTATTTTCCGCCTTTTTTTTTTTTTTTTAGTTTCTCCAGTCATTCTGCAAGCACAGCAGCATATGTGTCCTTGGGTAGGACCCACTTATTGTTCGTTCCACTTTGCATATTGAGAAACCATGCTCAGAGAAGTTGAATGATTCGAACAGGCTCACACAGCTAAGGACAGACTGGGCACTGCATTCCTGGAATTCTGATGCCTAGCTCAACTTCTTTCTGGAAAAATCACAGCTGCCCCAGGCCCCAGCCCTGGAAGTAACCAGGGCAAACATTCACTTTCAACCAGGGCTTGCCATAGCTCAGATACACAGGTGCCTGATTCTTCTGGCTGCTCCTATAGTCACCAGAAAGGCCTCAGGGGCAGTATGATTGTGTCACTGATAAGGAAGAGGCCTGATAGAGCACAGAGTAGACCCCACACCTGGGTGGACCCACATCGAGAGGGCAGGCAGTGGGGTGGGGGCCTCTGGCTTCATCCTCTTAAATGCAGAGCTTGAACTTAGGCCTCCTAGAGCACAAACGTTGATTGTTTAAGACAGATGTTGGGATGATGAAAGTTTATCGCTCAAATGGAGTGGGGAGGATCCTTCAGTCCTCAGGCCAGTACTAGCAAAACATGGGCTTTGGAATCAGGAAGACCCAGGCCCAAATTTTGCATTTTCTGTTTACTGACTCTGTGGCCTTGTCTAATTTATGCAGTCTGTCTGTGCCTCAGCTTCCTTATCTGTAAAACGGGATGCTGACATCCACTTCACAGGGCTGCTGTGAAAAGAAGAGAAGCCCCAGAACAGATTCCGCTAAGATGTACAAGCCGTGACCTTCCCTTCCTTCCTCCCCCAACACACACAAAATGTGTCCATGGCCGGAGCTGCAAAAGGAACAGGGAAGAAGCTAATGTTCTTTCTTGCCTATGGGAGTTAGTGAGATCACGTAGAGTCACATGGCAGGCACTGACTTTACTACCACAACTTAACTACCTCCAATAGTGCATCCTCTCTGGTCATTCCCCTTCCTAGGTCCCAAAATCGATGAGCTCAGCAGGGGCCTAACACTTGTTGCAACTAGAGACCCCACAGAAAGGCCTTAATAGTGACCTACGTATGCTGGGCAAAGGGGTGGAGATGCAAGCCTACCTGACTGGAGGGGCCTTGAATGGGGGAGGGATAGAATAGAGACGCATTGCGGAAAAGGTAGGGGGCCAGTGTGTGGGACAAGGGGTGGATCCAAGAGGCACAGCGCATCTGTTAGGGAACGGGGTGTAGAGGAATGGGAGGTGCCGTTGCGCACTGTCGACCTGGTTGGTGGTGGGGTGGTGTGTTGGCAAAGGGGCGGACCCGCCTTTCAGCGCACATGCGCATCATGGTTTCCAGGAGGAAGCTTTTGTTGGGAAAGTAGGAGGGGCTCTATTTGGTGTTCAGGAGTTGCGCATGCGCACTACGTCCTGAGGCGGTGGGTGGTATATTAGGCGAAGAGGCGGGGTCGCCCAAGCTGCCGCGCTGGCATTTTCTCCTGGACAAGGGGAGAGTGCGGCTGCTGAGAACCCAGCACAGCAATCCTGATCCTCTGAGTCGTGACGAAGGGAGACAGCGAGGGGGTTGGGGTTGGGGCCTGAGGCAAGGTGAGAATTAGCCCCCAGACGGCATTTGCCCTCTGGTGCGGGCTCCCATTTTTTTTAAATCCCGATCCCTTTACCCTGGATTCTGAATCCCCTTCCACTCCCCCGAACCTTAATTCGCATCCCCCTGTCGATCCTTCCTGATTTAGAGCCCTTGTCTGATCCCTTCCATCGTTAAAATCCTCACAGATTTCTTGACCTCGATCTGGACTGTTATATGATTCCTTCCGATTCAAAACCTCCACGCAACTTCGCAAATGCGAATCCCGGCCAAATCCCCACCCCCGCCCTGGATTCAAGACTCATCTGCTTCCCGAACCCCCTTCTGAAGCTTCTCCTTGTCAGTAGCTTCTCGGGGTTCAGAACCTCCTTACGGGTGCCCATACACTTTTCCCGCTCCAATCCGGCCAGTCTCCCCTCACATTCAGCACCTCATCCTCCCCCACAATCAAACCACAGACATCTCCCCGTCCAATTCAGTCCTTCGTGTTTGCCATCTGTATCATAACGCCCAGCCCCTCTCCCACAACCCCCAGGCTCCGCTCTTGCCAGAGGGACAGGAGCCATGGCTCAGAAAACGGACGGTGGTGCGGGCCGCCTCGGCTACCAGGTGAGATCTCTGCTTCCCACCCCACCATTTCCCCAGCCGACAATTTCCCTCTCGGGCCCCTTTGGGCACCCGAACGCCTGGATCCGATTTTGCCCTCTTTAGTGCCTATACTCTGTCGTCTTTAGAATTCCCATCGTTTGGAGGGGGGGCGCGGGGGAAGGAGGGGCGTCCCTTTTCAGCCATCAGTCCCTGCTCAGAGATAGGGGAGACCCTGTTAGTAGTCGGGGTAGTCTGCCCAGAGAATACGGGGTTGGTTAGGAACCATTTTTCCCCCCCGATAGTACTGACGCGTGTAGAGCAGTCTTATCGCTCTCTTCCCCAATCTCACGCCTCCACCCTCCCTCTCCCCTGCATTCTCCCCCAGTGCGACCCCCCTTATTCTCCTCAACTCCTTGATCCGCCTCCAGTCCTGAGCTGCTACCTTATGCTTCACCCGCTATACTCTAACCTCACTCCTCAGCCCCCTTCCCACCTCCCCGCTCTGGTTCGCGCCCACTCCTTACATCGCCCCACCGCTCATTTTGCCCCTGCTCCACACCACACCTACCATACGTTTTGTGCCCGCCCCGCCTCCCTTTGCCCCTCGTGTGCTCCCTAAATTCTCCTCAGCCCTCCTGTTTTTGCACCAGCCAACCGCCTGCAGCTCCCCTGCCGCACTGCCTTTTCCTCATACCCAGCTCCCACCTCAGAGACCCAGAGATTTTAATTCCCACCCCCCTCCTCTATTTGCAGGCCGAGGCCTCTGTAGAAGACAGTGCGTTGCTTATGCAGACCTTGATGGAGGCGATCCAGATCTCCGACGCCCCACCTACTAACCAGGCCATGGCAGCTGCCAGTGGGCCAAATGCTAGTCCCGAGAGTTCACAGCCCCCAACTGCCAATGAGATGGCTGACATTCAGGTGTCAGCAGCTGCTGCCAGGCCCAAGACAGCCTTTAAAACTCAGAATGCCACCACAAAAGGCCCAAATGGTGCCTATGATTTCCCTCAGACTCATAATGCCAAGGAGATGCCCAACACCCAGCCCAAGGCAGCCTTTAAGTCCCACAATGCCACCTCAAAGGGCCCAAATGCTGCCTATGATTTTTCCCAGACTGCAACCACTGGTGAGTTAGCTGCTAACAAGTCTGAGGTGGCCTTTAAGGCCCAGAATACCACCACTAAGGTGGGCCCAAATGGCACCTACGGTTTCTCTCAGTCTCTAAATGCCAATGAGATGGCTAACAGCCGGCCTAAGACAGCCTTCAAGGCTTGGAATGATACCACCAAGGCCCCAACAGCTAATACCCAGAACCAGAATGTAAATCAGGCCAAAACGGCCACTTCCCAGGCTGACATAGAGACCGACCCAGGTATCTCTGAAACTGACGGTGCAGCCGCACAGACATCAGCAGATGGTTCCCAGGCTCAGAATCTGGAGTCCCGGACTATAATTCGGGGCAAGAGGACCCGCAAGGTGAGAGCTTTGCTAGTTTCATTTTTGTCTGGGCTCTCTCCTTTTTTCTCTGATGTTTTTTATTTGTTCTAAACAAAATAAAATATATATACATGTCTGTATACAGCTAGGCTGTAGGGGATGTTGAGGAGAATGTTTATTCCTGTCCTCTGAGTGTCTACAGACTGATGGGGAAATAACACAGGGGCACAAATAATATATACAATCTATATGTAATTCAGTTTACATTTTGATGTGTTAGGTCTTAAACTAGACACATTCACACAGATTATCTCATTAAATCTTGAAGATACCTCTTACCAGCTAAGGATTATAGTCCCAGTTTTACAGAGAAGGAAACTAAGTGACAAAGAGGTGAAGTGACTTGAGTGATTTGTTCAGGGTGGTACAAGTAGAGCCAGTGGTGAACGTAGGAGGAGGAGAAGCCCCAAGCTCCATCCTTGGGTTGCTCCTGGCCTGGTTCGGAGATGAAACTCATGCCTGTAAGATAGTAAAACACAAGCCCAGGACTCAGGGTGACCAATGGCTAGTGGGTCAGGCTGTCACTCTAGGTGTGGGTTTAGAGGGCCTTCCTAGAATAGATAGGGTGAAGACAGAACCAACTGGTGACCCTGGACTTTTCTTTTCTTTGATGATGCAGATTAATAACTTGAATGTGGAAGAGAGTAGCAGTGGGGATCAGAGGCGGGCCCCAATGACTGCAGGGACCTGGAGGTCTGCACCTGTTCCAGTGACCACTCAGAACCCACCTGGCGCACCCCCCAATGTGCTCTGGCAGACCCCACTGGCTTGGCAGAACCCCTCAGGCTGGCAAAATCAGACAGCCAGGCAGACCCCACCAGCACGCCAGAGCCCCCCAGCTAGGCAGACCCCACCAGCCTGGCAAAACCCAGTTGCTTGGCAGAACCCAGTGATCTGGCCAAACCCAATAATCTGGCAGAACCCGGTGATCTGGCCGAATCCCATTGTCTGGCCTGGCCCAGTTGTCTGGCCGAACCCACTGGCTTGGCAGAGTCCACCTGGATGGCAGACCCCACCTGGATGGCAGACCCCGCCAGGCTGGCAGGGCCCTCCAGACTGGCAAGGCCCTCCTGACTGGCCAATACCACCTGACTGGCCATTGCCACCCGACTGGCCACTTCCCACTGACTGGCCGCTTCCACCTGACTGGATTCCCGCTGAGTGGCCAATTCCACCTGACTGGCAGAACCTGCGACCCTCGCCTAACCTGCGCCCCTCCCCCAACTCGCGTGCCTCACAGAACCCGGGTGCTGCACAGCCCCGAGACGTGGCCCTTCTTCAGGAACGAGTAAGAGCTGTGAACTGCCCAGTACCTTCTCCCCTCTTTTGCACTTTTCTGTGTCATCCTCCCATATATAATTCACCAAAATTTTCTGCAAATATTTTACAAATTTAATGACTTTCTTTTCCCCGCCCAGGCAAATAAGTTGGTCAAGTACCTGATGCTTAAAGACTACACAAAGGTGCCCATCAAGCGCTCAGGTAGGTATCTGGTGCCCCTCCCCAACCTCTCTTCTCCTCACCTTATACTCTGTGTGTATCCCCTTCTATTCTGTTCCTTCTATGGCCAGCTGTTTCTTCTCCACCCTTGAGGACCCTGTCTGTGCTACCCTCAGCAGAGCTGGCAAAGAGGCTACTGCTCTGTGGCCCCTGTTCAGCTCAGGTGCTCCCTCCTCTCCCCCACAGAAATGCTGAGAGATATCATCCGTGAATACACTGATGTTTATCCAGAAATCATTGAACGTGCATGCTTTGTCCTAGAGAAGGTAAGAAGGCAGCCCCCCAAGAACAAGAATGATGGGGAAAGTCTTGATTTAAAAGATTCATGTGATTTCTACTGGTAGTTTAGGGAAAATGTCCCAGGGAGATGAGTGACTACCTATGGATAGCTTCTGCTAGATTTTATAATTTCACAGTCTGTTTTCTTGTCCCTGCAGAAATTTGGGATTCAACTGAAAGAAATTGACAAGGAAGAACACCTATATATTCTCATCAGTACCCCTGAATCCTTGGCTGGCATACTGGGAACGTAAGATGGGAAAGGAGGTGGGACGTGACCTTTCTTGGTGGTGCTTTTTTTCCAGAATTTAAGTAGATCAGGGGCACATAGCAGGTCATAGGAAGAACTGGGATATAATTCTCCCCTAGCTGAGGAATACTGGGGAGGCTAGATGGGCAAACTGACTGTGTCTCTCATGGAAATGGCTGCTGAAAATAAATTCTTTTCATATTCCTTTAGGACCAAAGACACACCCAAGCTGGGTCTCCTCTTGGTGATTCTGGGTGTCATCTTCATGAATGGCAACCGTGCCAGCGAGGGTGAGTGGCTGGAGCTGCAGCAGGGGGTTGGACACAGCCTGATTTCCATGCTTATTTTCTGTCCCTTGTCTCCCCTTGCCTCGCATTGCAGCTGTCCTCTGGGAGGCACTACGCAAGATGGGACTGCGTCCTGGGTATGATTGGGCTCTCTTATCTTTTGCCTGTTTGTATCATCCTTTGACAACAGAGGATGGTCCCAGGACTGCATTAACCTGGTAGTCTGAAGGGTTCAGTTTGGGGAGGTTCAGAGCCCAGGGATTTGACCTCAGAGGATGGGGAAATGGCCCTGAACTCTCTGCCTCTTTTCTTTTCATTTGACTTCTGTGCAGGAAAGTTCTTTTCTTTTCTTTCGGCAAATTAAGTGTCTCTTCATATGAGTTTACTTTTTTTTTATCATTAGGGTGAGACATCCCCTCCTTGGAGATCTGAGGAAACTTCTCACTTATGAATTTGTAAAGCAGAAGTAAGTGATGCCTAATGGGCTTTTCCTGGTCCTGGTGATTCTGCCTAAGTGCTGTTCAACCTTAAAAAGCCCTTCCCAAGCTCCTTTCTTACAATACACCTGTATATATGCAAACAGAAATCCATATGTACTCAGGAGTATTTATTGCATATATTCCTCGTGGTTGAATTTTTTTCTGCAGTATGGTTGTCTCGCAAGTGAAGCCTGTTCACCATCCCCATGATAGACTCTCCCAAGACTGGGCCAGGCTGAAGCATTTGCACTGCATTATAATCCTTGCAGTGGGTCTATCTATGGCTCACTGACAAGATTACAAGAACCTGGAGCTAGACCTGAGGCAGAGGGGGTGAGATGAAATGTCCTTTCTGTGACACTACATAAGCACAAGCCTCCCCTGCAGCTCTAATTGAATGCTTAATTTACTAACTCAGGAATTCAAGGCTTGGTAAGGGCAATACCCTGATTATGTTTAGAAATGAACCTGAGGGGCAGCTGCTACCTTAAATTTTATAGTTCAAAAATCTGGATTATTTTGCATTGGTGGCCCACCCTTTGCCTGGGTAGGCAATCACAAAGACTTTTTTGCTCTTTCAGATACCTGGACTACAGACGAGTGCCCAACAGCAACCCTCCTGAGTATGAGTTCCTCTGGGGCCTCCGTTCCTACCATGAGACTAGCAAGATGAAAGTGCTGAGATTCATTGCAGAGGTAATGGAGGAACTGCTCCAGAATGGGTAGGTCAAGGGATGGGACTTTACTGGCTGGGAAAGGCCCAGAGCAGAAATGAGATCCTAGGTTTGACACATGGTAGGTACCACATTACTAGTGGTATTTGTTGTTGCTATTATGGAATCTTAAATATATATTAACTAATATGATTATGGGCTTGGTTGTTGTTTTTTTAAGTTTTAAACTATTTTTATCTTAGCCCAGCTTGACAAAGGTATAATTGACAAATACAAATTGTATATATTTATAGTTTACAATGTGATTTTTAAGTTTTGTTTTGTTTTTCATTCATTTATTCTATTTATTTATTTTTTAGTCAGGGTCTCACTCTGTCTCCCAGGCTGGAGTGCAGTGGAACCATCACAGCTCACCGTAGACTCGACCTTCCGGGCTCAGGAAATCCTTCCACCTCAGTCTCCCTAGTAGTTGGGACTACAGGCGCACACCACTATGCCTGGCTAATTTTTTTATTTTTTATTTTTGTAGAGACAAGATCTCACTATGTTACCCAGGCTGTTATTTATTCTTAATTGATTAATAAAAATAATATATGTATTTATGGGGTACAATGTGATATAGTATGTATATGTCATAGAGTGATTAAATCAAGCTAGTTAACTATCCTTTACCTCATATACTTAATATTTTTTGTGATGAGAACATTTAAAATTACTCTCTTAGCATTTTTCAAATATGCAACACATTCTTATTAACTATAGTCATCATGTTGTACACTAGATCTCCAGAACTTACTCATCCTACCTAACTGAAACTTTGTACCCTTTAACCAACATCTCCCCATCCTTCCCCACCACTCTCTGCTTCTATGAATCTGACCTTTTTAGATTCCACCTACAAGTGAGATCATGCAATATTAGTCTTTCCGTGTGTGCCTTATTTCACTTAGCATAATGTCCTCTAAGTTCATCCATATTGTTGTAAATGATAGAATTTCTTTTCAAAGGCTGAATAGTATTCCATTATGTGTGTGTGTATCACATTTCCTTTATTTACCTGTCCACTGATAAACACTTAGATTGATTCTATATCTTGGCCATTATAAATAGGTTTTGTCTCATTTTCTATTCCTCATCTCAGGTTCAGAAGAGAGACCCTCGTGACTGGACTGCACAGTTCATGGAGGCTGCAGATGAGGCCTTGGATGCTCTGGATGCTGCTGCAGCCGAGGCTGAGGCCCGGGCTGAAGCGAGAACCCGGATGGGTATCGGAGATGAGGCTGTATCTGGGCCTTGGAGCTGGGATGACATTGAATTTGAGCTGCTGACCTGGGATGAGGAAGATTTTGGAGATCCCTGGTCCAGAATTCCATTTACCTTCTGGGCCAGATACCACCAGAATGCCCGCTCCAGATTTCCTCAAACCTTTGCTGGTCCTATTATTGGCCCCGGTGGTACAGCCAGTGCTAACTTTGCTGCCAACTTTGGTGCCATTGGTTTCTTCTGGGTTGAGTGAGATGTTGGGTAGGTACATCACTTTGAATTGGGCAGTTAGGATCTTTGGGAATACAGGGTCCATGGGGTTATATTTATGTGTGTGAGCTAGGAGTTCTAAAAAACTCTTGGTGGGGAGATGAGGGAAGTATGGGGAAGTTCTGTTTGGTATTTATATTCCTTACTATTTGATATATATCATTGATTTTTTTTAACTTTTTGTTTCTTATGTTCACAGATATTGCTATCAATTGCAATAGTCCTTCCCGAGTGAGGCTGAAGCCTCAGGTTCCTTCTCAAACACAGCTATCTAGAGAGCCACATCCTGTTGACTGAAAGTGGCATGCAAGATAAAATTATTTGCTGTTCCTTGTCTATTGCTTTTTTTCCCTTGTGTGCTGTCACGTTTTGGTATCAGAAATAAACATTGAAATTGCAAAGTGAATTAGATATGCTTCCTGCTTTTTTTTTTTTTTTAATATTCAAGGAGAGATCAACATGTTTGTAGGGGAAAGACAGGATCTCAGCTCTAGCCTGAAGGGAAGACCAGCTTTTAACGGGTGGACACATGGATAGATCCAGCAAATGGATTGAGAAACAAAGGAGGGATCAATGAACACAAGTGTTAACAAGACCCAAGAACTAATATAGTTTGTTCAATAAATATCACTTAAGTGACTCATGTGATAGATATGCTGCTATGTATCCTGGAGTGATTTTGATAGAAGTGGAATAATGAAGGAGGGGGTAGATGGTGAGACAGTTGTACTTAAGAACACAGAGGAGGTAGAACTACAGATGATGGCAAGGTCCAGAGAGTAGGTAGTTGAAGGGGAAAGAAGATGACTTCCTAGAGATGAGAGGTTCTGTGGGCTGTGATTCCAAAGTGTTGGTTGTACTATCCACATGGAAAGTGAAAAAACTTCAGTATGGAGGCAAGAAGAGTAGAGAACAGTATGAAATGCCAAATTGTCCTCGGTGAGAAGGAGGAGAAATCCCTAATCGTGTTGCCCATAAAAGGGTGGGTTCATAGGCACCCCTTCCCATCTCTGGAAATGCCGTCCTGGAACCCATGCCCCTAAGAAGCCCTCACAATTCCCCACCCGCACAGGATCAGAGCCTCATCACAGAAATGGGGTTGTATGGACAGTGAAAGAAGCCTCACAGTGGCCTCTCCTGCAGGGAGAAAGAAGAGCCTTTGTTGCTTAGAGAACAAGAATTAAATAAGACAAAACTCCACACACAGCCTTTGACTGTGACTGTGACTGTGACCAGGTACCTAATTTGAGCTGCTGAGGTTTATGCTGGAAACAAGGCTCTTCCACTGAGGACAAAATTAGGCCTAGGCCATAACTTAGGAGCTTGGTGGTATCTGAGTAAGTGGGCAAGGGCAGAGACAGGAACTCCTGGGGTGGAAAAAAGCACGAGCAAAAGCAATTTGGCCTGGGAAGGTCTCAGTAGTGGGCAAGGACGGTGTGTAGTGCTTCCTCAGTTTTCCGGGTGATGTCTGCATTCTGAGAAGAGGGCCCAGGATTAACAGGAAGCAGACAGCAATGTAGTGCCTCTTGTCATCACTGCCAGGTTTCCCTCCTTCAGCCAGACCTGGATTCTGACCCTGAGGCAGATCTGGGGGAATCTCTGCCTGAGGCCTTTGTGGCAGAGGTGCCTCAGTCCTGCATCTCCATGGTGCCTCACATCCGGCTGTGGTCCCTGCATTTCTGGGTGCTGGCTATTGTTGGTACAAAACACCCAGGCTCTGATGAGTTTGGGAAGCCTTTCTGTGGGAGACAGTGCTTTCACTATGTGCTGTATCCTCAGCCACCTTGGGCCACAGTGTCCCCCAACTACCTGAGACTTTTCCCAGTGTGTGTTCACAGCCTCCACATTCAGGTAGATGGACTCCACTTTGTAGCCTCAGAAAAGAACAGCCCATTTGTCCATAAACCTCCAAGGTAAACACAGGTTTCCCCTGAGGTATCATTTCTCCCATCACCACCCACACCCAGCTCCATACTGTTTGCAGATTGTGACTCCCCTGCAGGGAGGGGGAATTTAGACAGTTGTGTGATGCGTAGAGAAGACACCAGGCATGAGAGGCAGTCCAAATTTGCCCCTAACAGTCTTCTCTGAACTTCGGTTGCTCATTGGTAAATGGGGATGGGGATGAGAGGAGGTGAACTCTGTGGCCTACCCCCAGCTCTTATGGTCTGGGAGAAAGCAATCTCATCTATGTAATATTGATGTAGTTCTGTGGGTGCTCCAAGCCATGTTAGGTGCTGAAGAGGTAGCAGAGACCTGGGGCCACTGCCTTGGATGCTCAGTCCCAGGCAAAGTATATCTAGAGGAGAATGTAGTTACAGCAACACTAGGGGTGTGGAAGGTCAGGAGGGAGTTCTAGGGAACCTGAAGAAGGAAGAGGGACTGCATTGGAGCCTGGAGCTGGCAGAGGAGGCCCGGTGGCTGTAGAATTTCCTTAACTCCGCACCTGTGAACTGTTTTTTTTTTTTTTGAGTTGGAGTGTCACTCTGTCACCCAGACTGGCGTGTAATGGCCACTCCCGGCCACCGCAGCCTTAACCTGCTGGGCTCCGGCGATCCTTCCCCCTCAGCCTTCCAAGTAGCCAGAATTACAGGCATGCGCTACCACGCCTGGCTGATTTTTTGATTTATTGTATAGATGAAGTCTCGCTGCCCAGGCGGGTCTCGAACCCGCGGGCTCAGGCAATCCACTCATCTCAGCCTCCCAAAGGCTCGGGATTACAGGCTGAGCCACCGAGCCCGGCTGAACTGTTCTTTATGCTGGGCCTTAGTAGGCCATCCTGTCCTGTTCACATCGTAAAACAGATTTGATTCTGCCCCTTCCCCGCTCATAAAATTCTGGTACAATTTGTACAATAGGCACCATCTGAATAACATCTTTAGATTAAATAACAATATTATATTAGTGTTAGTGATCTTATTTTGATTGCTGTGCTGGTTTTTGGTAAGAAAATGTCTTTATAACTTACTCTCAAATTTTTTATAAAAGTGTGTGTGTGTAGAGACAAAAGACTGAGAAACAGGGAGGATAAAACAAACATGGTAACATGTTAACACTGAGGAATCTAAGTTAAACGTGGACAGGAATTCTTTTCACTCCTCTTGCAACTTTTCTATAAGTCTTCAATTATATCAGAATAAAAATGTCTTTGAGAAGTATTTTTATTTTAACAAATATTCACTAAAATTCACCTGTCCAACATCTACTATACATACCTCTTGACATAGCGCACTTCAAGAAAAAGACACGGTAATATGATGATGCAGTTATTTTTTATACAAACAAAAGTACATTCACTCCTTTCCAAAGCGAAACAAACTAAAGTCTTATAAGTTGTTGCATCCAGATCCAAGCCCAGGGATAATGGACCATCCTAATTAGCAGTAGTTTCTGAATGAAGACATTTGGGGAAATAGCCAAAAAAAGAGCTTTAGGGAAGTGGTACTTCTTTTTGTGTGTGTGTGTGTGTGTTGGAATCTCACTTTGTCGCCCAGACTGGAGTGCAGTGGCCGCTCCCGGTTACCGCAGCCTCGACCTGCTGGACTCCAGCGATCCTTCCGCCTCAGCCTTCCGAGTAGCCG